TTTATCAATCTCTATAGGGGGTGGTGAAAGATTTTGTTCTTCCTCATCGTCGCTGCTATCCACTGGAAAAGGATTCTGGCACACATTGAAGCTATTGAAACTAATTCTTCTGAAACTCCACTGCTATTCACTGCAGATAAGATGATTAGACTCCTCACTATAGTGGAAGACGTTTCCAAAGTGATTTTTCATACAGATTCCAATGGCCACGTAATGGACCTGCCGCGATGCGAACTGCCAGCGCAGCCTGCTACGTAGATTTAGATGGCGCCGGGTCTTTAGTTTTTATTTTAACAAATATGACCGCTTCTCTACACAGTGAGAATGTGATAAGGTTAATAAGCTTTCCTTCCAGTGGAGAAGTTTATGCATAATCTTTGGAGTATATAAGGAAAGCTACCATTCAGAGAAGGTCTTATTCATTCTACTCGGCAGTTCATCTCGGCATTTTATGCATTCGCTGTGATTGTGGGTTATACAGAAAAAATCTGTGATATGCCGAGTTTTCAATGTTTAGGAGCAACTTACCAAATATGGACCAAGATCACTCGAGCGAATCAACGCATCATAGGCGCCTCCGCGAGATGTTTCGACTTTTTCAGCGTTCAAAAAAGCAAAAAGAGAAAACAGTACGATAATCATTGCAAGACTAGTATAAGGTAATAATAGCTTTTCAGAAAGAAAGCTCTAACGAGGAGGAACCAAGAGAATCAAAGTCGCCACCACCTCCACCGCCGCCAGTAGCACGACCGCGACGTATTCCTTCTCCCGAGAAAGTGCAGATTGCAGGTGTTAGGTCGCCAGTGCAAGGTCGAGCTCGTTCGCCGAGCAAAGAAAGGAGTAGAAGCTCTTTTCAGTCAAAGAAGCTAGGTGAAATACAAGCATGTTGATTTTAGAACGGTTTATTAAGATTTTCCATTTTAGGCAGTATTGAGACTGCTACTGTGAGTAACGCATAATATTCAGTGCCTTGCTTAAATTCTCTGTAACCCAATGTTTTAGACAGTCGAGGAGGATGAAACCATAGACGAGTCAGCATCAGCGCGAAAGCGACGGCTGATACAGAAAAAATACGGTTTGTACTGTTTATAAGAATCTGGAAGAGGCCATGTGTAATGTTTTTTTT